AGATCGTATAGATTTTCAGCGTATACGTGTTTAAGTAATGCTTTTTGTTTTTAGTGTTGTGTTAGTCACAGAAATTTAAATGTTTTTATGTTACTGATTTCAAATTTTGTTTAAATATTCAAAACAGTAGCGTGAGTTGGTTTGTACCTAGATATATTTAAAATGTTTAATTGTCTTTATATATATATTTTACTTCCTTTATGGTTATGTTTTAATATGTTTTTTATATCATTGTTTTGTGGCAGATATATAATAAACGAATTGCCCCTGAAGGTGCTAAAAAGTATTAGCGAAACTTTGGGCTAGAAAAATGGAATAACTTAGTTTCATTCGCATCATTAAACTCAGATCAGACGAGCCCATTAGTATAAAAATTAAATAAATGAAGAACTGATCGGAATATACATACATTAAATTAATTATTATTTTCTTATATATTATTATTTTTATTTAATTTAATGTATTTTACTTCATTCTATTTAAATCTTTAAAAATATTTGATTTTATTTTATTTCATATTTTAGTAATTCTCAACCCGAAATGTTTTATTTACAAGCATTTTGCCCTTTACATTAAATTAAATTACTTTAGTTTTTTTATTTTTATTGTTATTTTGTAATACGTACACGCTCCAATTAATTCTTTAGAAATATGTGTTTGAATTTTTCCCTAAAAAATCATTTAAAATTCCACTCATAATCTATCATAAACCATCTCCAGCATTTTTTTTCTTTGTTGGAATTTTAAGGCATTACTCCTTTTTCCCGCAAGCTTTCTGAGGCCATACAAATAAGAAATAATCGCCCTGCATACAATGGTGCCTTCCATTAAAACGAGTCATGTGTAAGATTTTCTTGCCAGCAAATTGCAAAATTCAATTTTCCACCACACACTTACATACATACATACAGTATCGGTCATATCAATAGCATCGCCATCTCAAAGTGATATTATTTGCCACTTATGTTTATTTATTTATTTTTAACAATTTTCAATTAAAATCAGATACGTGAACCGGATGAAAACTTTGGTCGGTTCGGTGCAGCGGTTCGGTTTTGCAATTTTGGATTGGTTCGTCAAAGCAGTTTTTTAGTTTTTGAACCGCGGTTTCGGTTCGGTTCAACAGCTCGGAAATCCAAAAAAAAAAAAATAAATAAATAAATAACGCGAAAGTTTAAGTGTCAAGTGTCAAGTACAAAAACGCGCAAGGTTAAGTGTCTAGTGTCTGTCAAAAGGGATGGGATCTGCCTTTTCATTTGATATTACCACATGGTAACAAAAAGAAAAAAGTTGGTAATTTTATACATATATTGAAAATTGGTTAAAACGAACCTTTAAACCTTTATAAAAAGTGGTTCGGTTTTCGCTTCGGATCAAAGATTTGGGGAAACTTTCGGTTCGGTTAATAGTTCAGTGAATTAATAGAAATAAGCGGATGCCCGGTTCGAAATCGGTTCACGTCTCTGAATTCATTCTCTAACAAAAGCCATGTAAACCCAGGTTTAAAACTTTGTAGAAAACTATAAAAAACTCAACAAAATTTCATCCAAATTTCAAACTTTTTTCTCAGAAGTGTTAGAATTTTTTTGAGTATAGAGTTTTATATTTATAGTCCATTCAATTTTTGTGTAATGAAGTGTTAGAATTTTTTGAGTATACAGTTGTATAGTCCATTCAATTTCAGTATAATAAGTGTCAAGTAGCTAATAGTATATTTGATTTTTTAAGTTTTTTTGTCGCATTTGGTTCAATATAACGAATAAGCCCAATTTATTTTGATATGGAAGAAAACCGCAACACCTTCGCCAAAAAGTTGTAAAAAATCAACGGTAATTTTTAGCCACTTCAAACTTGCACATTATTGATTGAGTTATAAAACTGTTTGCTCAAAAAAATTCTAACACTTCTGAAAAAAATTCGAAATTTTGATGAAAATTTTTTTAATTTATTTTTTTATTTTTACAAAGTTTTAAATTTGGGTTAATGTGAGTTTTGTCAAAGAATGTATTTTAATTAAAACTTCTTAAAAATAATTGTCGCAAACAATACCATTTGGAAATGGGGGTGCTATAAATATGGCCGTAACTGTATATGTGCGTATGTATGCATCAATACTTTTAAATGTTTATATGTATTTATATAAACTGCTTAAATATGTATTGTTGTTGTTTATTGTGCTAGAAAATATTAGTCCCTTCTGTTGGTATTTATTTTTATACACGCTTTCATGTTATCAACACAATAATGAAAATTTTCCAAAGGTGCCCTTAACACATTGTTAACCACTCAAGTGTGAAAACTTTGGAAACTAAAAAGAACTGGTGCTTAAAAAATTTGTTCCACAAAGAAGAGGTAAATATGTACATGCGTGTGTATTGCTGCGTGATTTAATTCAATAAATAAAAATTGTCAAATTACATGTGTTCCACATTCGAAGGCTTTAAGAATTATACTCTTAAGATAACTTAGGCAAAGAAAGGGCTTGTAAAATATTTTAATTGTTGTAGAATAGATCCAAATAAATGTTATTAAACGTGCTTTAATAGGTGAATACTATTACTTACCTTATGTGGATACTATGGCGCACACAGGTCAAAGAATTTTTCGCTGACTTGGCCATCGATCGGCAATAATTTGACCTTTAATGTAGAACTCTTTCGGGATCATTTCCGACATTCTCCTAACCTCTAATAACGCTCCATTCAATTCCAAACTCAAATTTTAATGCTTCAGTATATGTACCTACATACATACATATCGACTCCTTTACGCGAAATTATTGTATGTAGCAGAAACCTAATTTTACAGGAGAGCTTTTTTCTACTTTTCCGAAATTTTTACAATTTTTATTTTTTTTTTGTACTACGTACATGAATTTGAATTTATTAGTCCGAATTTTTAGAAAAATTCTGGGTATACAAGTACATCGGTTATGTAATTCAAGTAAAATAACTGAAAGTTTTCGCGTTCATTTTTAATAATTATTTTTTTTTTGTTGATGACGGCACATTTTACTATATAGAAGTGAATTTCATGTAAAATAAATTGCACAAGACCATTTACCATCACAAAAAAAAAAAAATTAAGTTGGTTTTTATAGATTGCACTTTTTGCATGAAAAAAAAATATCAAAAGTCACCGGCAAAAATAAAAATCATTAAAAATCAACGCAATTTAAAACTTGCAATTTTGTTTACTAGAATTACATAACCGATGTAACTGCATATTCAGAATTTTTATAAAAATTCAGACCAAAAAGTATAAAATTTAGATGAAAATTTGTTTAATTTTTTTAAATTCTGTATAAAGTTTGACTTTGTCGTTTTAGTTAAGCCATAAACCATATTTTTATAATGAAAAAATTTAACTTGAAAAACATTGCAAATATTTAACAAAAATCACCATGCATTCACTTTTGGTCGCCAGTGTATGTGTAAAAGAAAAACTATTCAAATACCATTAAAGCAGCTGATAAATTTAAATCTATCTTTTATAAATTGAGCAAACACATCAAATAATCATGCCAATAAAAGGTTAATGCCGCAGATTGCATGCAACAAAATTAATTACTAGAAATGCGAGTAACCACTGGATTGACCGATTAAGGGTTACAATCAAATTAGACAAATCGCAGGTGAAAGCAAAATGAACTGAAAAGCGTTTAATGAGCTGAAAACATGCAAAAGTTAAACCGACAGAGATACCTATAGAGAAAAACAGAAAAAACAAATTTATAGCTCCACGCGAACACAATACTAACGATTGTGGCAATGTTCACTTGTTGAATATTTAATACAACTATAGTAGATGTGGTGATTCGATTACGTTAAGTGATATTTTGACCAGTTTTGATTATTTTTCTTTTGTTTATTTAACGTTTATACTTCTTTTATAAAAGTCTAAGACATTACATAACCAGCACCTCAGAAATCCACATTTCAAACTTCATACAAAAATTATAAAAATTTGACAAACTTTAGCATTTTAACATTTTATTCAGAATTCAGCTGACCACAAGGGATGTATTACACATAATTAAACGGGGTCTTTTTAGAATTGTAGAACACTGACTTTATTAGGTATACTGACATTTTTATGTTATTAGTGTTTTAATATAGTTTAGGGGATGTGGGTGACAACTCTGGCTCGGATGTAGCGTATTGTGGAAGTCCAATATTCGAACACTTCTTCAAACAATGGCAATCATATAGGTTTGCGGTTTGTTCGCTTAAACCAATGACTTGACGTTACCCAGAGAAAATAGTCTTCAGACATATCGGTGGCGAATCACTTGCCCCATTTCGAGAAATAATGCTTTCACCAAATGAAGAAATCATTAATCAATAAGTCAATTGTTTGATGCGCTGAATGGCACGTGGCACTGTCCTGTTTAAAAAATATGTAGACATATTATGTCTTCAGTTAACTTTCCATTCAATCGGACACGAAATAATCGACAATCGCAGTTCTAGACTATTCGGTTTTGATGGTAATGTTCTCGCCGTTCTCAACGAATTCTCTGCCCCTTAAATCCCGTCAAACAAAAGACATGTCTAAGTTTCGCAGTGTTCTCCATTAAAGAGGGTGGGCGGTATCGGGAAGGTCTGTGAAAATTTTTCGGGCGGGGCGGGAGCAAAATTCTTTCCCGACACGAACAGCAAAACAAAACAAAATAATCGGAATTAATTTATTTGAAAGAAGCGTGAATTTTCTCCTAAGATTTCGGGATCCGCTGGACAATTTTGAAAAACATCGGGATGGGCCGGTCCTGGACTTAAAAATTGCCTAGTTTTTATTGAAAAATATAAATTTGTAATTTCGATTTACATTTTAAGCACAAAATCGATTGCATGTCTTCTTGTCTTAACCTAAGTACGTATGTACTACATCCACTGACACGAAAATCGATTAAGCCACCCATTACTAGCCTCTAAGTTTTAATCATAAATTGTAACTCCTTTCTAATCACCGTCTTCTTCATTTTCTCTTCCTTCTCGCAGGACATCCGATTCCAGCCAGCAATTGACAACATCGGCAGTGCCGCCAGCAACGACACAAAATCAATTAAAGTCCATAACAGCGAGCAGCGGCGGGGCATCAACAGCAGGCGTAAGTGCAGGGACAGCATGCAACAGCACGAACAACAACAACAACAACAATAATAATAATACCAACAACAATAACAACTGTAATAGCAGTAATAATGCCAGTAATCGACGTCTGCCATTCTGTGGTTTAGATTCCATTAAAGGAAGTGACAGCAATGGCCATGGCGATGGTTGCGGTGGCTTGAGTGGTGGTGCCACCAATTTATGTTTCGATTTGCAAGGTGGCTGTACAAGCAGCAGTGTCACTGCTGGCTTAGGGACGGTAAATGCTGTTGCTGGACTCGGTCACTTGGATGCTGGTGGCGGCGGTATTGGCGCTGGTCAACACGATAACATATCAGAGCAATTTCATTCGTTGGATGCGGCAGATAGCAGCTGTTGCGGTGATGGGCAATTCGAGGATGATATGCAAGCTTTGCTGCCGAAATGCAAGCGACTCTCGGGAGATGAACTCAGTCAGGTGAGTTGTATGTATGTGAAGTGAATAGCGTATTTAAGAAGGAGGATTGTACGAATGTTAAGCGATATATGTGTGTGTATTAGGGTGGTCCTTAAAAAATCAAATGAAGGATTTTTTACAGTCTCACGCCCTCAATCGGTAATACCACGGTCACAGATATCGCATATAAATTTTGGTTCCGATTGGAGACGGTTAAGGCGTGTCGCACAGGAGACAAAAAACAGACTCCTCTATAGAGACTCAAACAATTAAAATGATTTTTTCTTATCTAATACCCAAAATCGAAGATATCACATATAAATTTTAGTCCCGATTGGAGTCGGTCATGACGTCTTCATAGGGTGTTCTGAACCTTGACACCTGTGTGACCCGCCTTAACCGTCTCCAATCGGGACCAAAATTTATATGTGATATCTTCGATTAAATCTGATGTAAAAATTTGTTTCCTACATTTAAGGTCCCCCCTAATGTGCATACATATGAGATACAAACCTACTGCTTAGTACGTGGCTTAAAGTTGAGAGGCTTTCGGGTGGTATTACTAAATATTTGAACGTCATTTGTAACATAATTTTAGGCTGGCAAAGGAAATTCGTCCTAATATCTTTTGCGTCTAAGTTTCGCTTCTTTTTCTTTTCGCACTATAAAGTGCTTCTACTCAAATTTGAAGTCCGTGCTTTCGTTAGCTTAATATTGAATTTTAATGCATTTACCTTTAGCTGATTGTGTTGCATTAAATGCAAATGCGCTGAGCTCAAAATCTGTTTGTGCCACAAAATGGCTTATTTGCCCGACAGGACATCAGAGCGATATCCTTTTGCTGTATGCAAATTTCGAAGCAAATACGCTTTCCTCTACTTAAGCAGCTCACTTTCTTGCTCTAGCTACATACTTAAGTATATTTACGATGCGCCGCTTACAATTCAAGTTTTTGATTGCGCATTTCATTTACACAACCCCGCGCCGCATGTCCTTTTTCACATGCCAATCGTTGCTCGCATGAAAGGTATGCAGGAAAATCTATTTTTTTCACATTTTTCTTCAATTCACTTGCTACTTAGCATAGCATTTAAATAAACTGCTGTTATACCCAATTTTGCTGTTTGGGGTGGCATGTTAAACGTACGCTATCCTGCAAAGGACGCTCGCTTTTTGCTGTTGTCCATTCAACAGACCACTCGCCACCAGGGACTCACTTCGTCATTGAACTGTGCTTTGCTGTGATTGCTAGTTTTGATTTCCGTACATTTGTCTCTTCTTATTTTTGCAAATCTCTGCTTCGGTGATTTTAAATTCTGGGAAAAATGAAGTGCACTAAGGATATAGCGCATAGTTGCCCGAACAACTTTATTAATAATTCATTACTTTTGTCGGCATTGATTTGCAAGCGTATACTGCATAATTTGTAGAATTGAAAAAGGACATACATATGTATACACAAATAAATCGATTTCAATTTGACTCCATCCCTCTTCCGCTTACATCCTATTTCCTCCCTTTTACTGCGCACCCCAGTGAGATTTATCATCAAATCTCCATTTCGTAGGATTTCAATTTCATACCGAACTCAGCTGCTACCTTGAAAAAATTATCAGCAATCCAAATACCCTACTGTATTTATAAACAACTGTGCCACAAGCCAATAAATTTATGGTTTTCATTTTCCAGCAATCACCCATCCCAGCCTAAAGCGTCCTCCATACATATGCTCATAAGAATCTCTTTGTTTCAATAAACAAATATCGCAGCAATTTTTAGCTCGCCACCCTCTTCATATCTTCTCTATTTGCCATGGCTTATGAGCAATTACACTAAGCAAATATATTAAAGAGAAGCAACCATATTTATGTTTGTTTGACTGTATATTTTTTAGGCTAACACACTGATATGCTTATCTTTACAAAGAAAACATTTACATATATACAAACTCCACATAGTTGAGCACAAATACTTCTATAGCGCGCTCGCTCAATGATGCTTGCAATGAATCTGTGTAAATAGAAAATTTCAAAGTCGTTGTTGTCTTTAACCGGCAGCCATAAATCTTCTGCTGGTGCTAAGGTAAATGTAAATACTGCCAATATTAAGCGCTTTAAAGCTTCAGGCGAATAGGTAAATAAATGCAGCTGTGTAACGTTAAGTGACTTTATTCGAGACTTATTTAGGAAGCACCAAAAATATTAGTAGCAAATTAGTTATTTGAATGGATGCAACAGAAGCACGGTACACCGCGACCTAGAAGCCGTTTTGTATCCCGCCGATAAGTTACTTGCCCTGACGGCCCGAGATACTATCATCCTCCCTAATAAATGCTAATAAATGTTTGGTAGATGAAGTATTGCAGCCTTAGTCTGGCCACAACCCGACACTCACAGATAATTTGCTCCGACTTTTCCTCATCTTCAAGATAAGATGGCAATCCGTCTCAGCGGTTAGGACGATCTGATGCATACGAGAGCCCTGGTGGTTATGATCGGTTTGGTAACTAGTAAGTATCTTGAGGTTGGCTATATTCAAAAGATGTATATCCTTCCCAACAAAGCTTATCTAAAAAGTCTAGCTATCTAAGGCTCCCTACCACTCTCCATTACTTGCTGCCTTCTGAGTTCTGAGGCTTGAGTTGGACCAACTGAGTTCGCAAAATGGTTCCGCTCACACAAGGACAGACAATAGGCTGTTTAAGCCAGTTCGTCGGCGTCGTCATTACCTTCAATGTCGCAGTGTCCTGGTGCCCAACATAGTACATATTACCGTGTTCCTTGCAGCCAAGAGTTATAGAATTTCACAGCACTCATTGACGAGCCTAGAGGGGTTTGTTCTAATGGATAGGGCCCTAATGACCGCCTGGACGTTAGGAAACATAGCAAGATTTAGTCTGGTACAAACAGACCATATGTCCTTTGCAATGGAAAGTTTGGTGCCGGGTCAATTGCCACCCACCCGCACCTGTTCTGCCATATATCTTTGATCCAGTATTCATACATATCTGTGATCAAATTCAGGTGAAATATTTAAACACTCCTTTCGGTATGGGATTTTAGGCTGTAATTTTCGTCCAAAGCACATTTTTTTACATGGAGCCGGGTAGTAGAATTTTCAAATTCCGTTTCCGGCCACCAGACTATGGAGGCATAAGTTACAATCGGAAGAACTATAGTACGATAGAGCCACTCTATTAGTTTAGAGTTCAGATCTCACGTTCACATAAAAGTTTTCGACAGGCGTACAACGTCCGGGTGGCTTACCAAGGGTTTTGTATTGATAGCGGTTCCAACTTAGTCTCGCATCAAAGGTAAATCCAAGGAATTGGACTTGGTTGGAGTATTCCAACAAATTATTATTCAATACTTATGGATAAAAAATACATAAGAAATGAAATTTAAAGAAATTGAATTGAATCTGTTAGGCAAAACTACATTGAAGTTGTATATGAAGTTCAACCTCGAAAGGCACAGGCCCACAAATCTAGTCCGCAGTCCTTACCGTTGCTCCACAATCCTGAGATAAGTCTTCTTTCCTGATTATAATTCCCGTAACAGGCAGAACTAGAAATAATCGGCTAATATATCAATTGTTCCCGTAAAACTGTTTAAACGGTGTGGCCAAGAAGCAAGTGGTTTCGACGGGGTAGAGCCAAAGGGAGAGAGGTCTTAGCTGAGGTACGCCCGAGAAAAGTTTTGTTTCGACAGGGTTGGACCTAAGGGAGAGGAGTCTTAGACTATGTGTTTGTTGTCATGTGAAGAACTTTCACAAGCCGGACATGTGTTGGATATGTCGGGGTCAAGTCTTTTACGATGGGCTGTGGTTGAAATCCAATAAAGTACTACATTGACGAGGTCAGTGTTTGAGCTATGTATGTCTAGATCTCGTCCATGGGTTCAAACAGATGCCCCCTACGACAGTAAGCTCATCTTCCAGTAAGTGTCTGCTCCGATGCGCCATGCGATGGCAGCCGAGCTCTTGCTTTTTGGGCATCAAATTTTGCTCCCTATTTGGTTGCGTTCGGGTCTCGCAATGTAAATGGTACTCGAACGGCATCGGAAGGCATACCTTTGCTGCCCGGAGTTCGGTGTTATAACAAATAGGCTTCGTCCGCTGCGTCCCACCAATTTCCTTGTATCTTGCCAACAAAGTTTGTTTGTATCTGTCCTAAGTGCAGCCGACGTGGAATTTGACGACTCAGTTGTGGGTACGACCTTTATTAACAGGAAGGGGCGCAAATTTTCAAAGGTCGATCCTACAATTTTCGGGATATTTACTGTCGAAACTGTTGGAGTACCATCGATGTGGATGTTTAATTGCAGCTTTACCTCCTTTGCTCAGTTGGTATAAAAAAGGGTTGGCGTTTATTAGAGAGCAATGCTTTGTGCAGTGTAGAAACTATTAAGATCACCGAGATATCCACTTACTTCTGAGCACAGGTAATCAATGCAATGATAGGTGGCCAATATCGAGCAACCGACAGCCTAGGACATCAAAGAAGCTCCTTTTCGGTGACTGAGGGAGCTATCAGATCTAAACTTCTTTATCGGGGAGCCCTACCAATCCAGAAGCGCCGAGGTAGGTGCTGTCACCACAGTTTCCTGAGCTTTGCCTCCGTAGGCTTTGTTTCTGCCTTGTTTAGTTGGGTTTAAAGTGATATCGTGCATTCATTACTTGAACTGCTACTCTTTGACATGTATCGCATAATTCCATCTCGGTTGATAAGTACTGGCTCTGCTCAAATTTTTTCAATTTTATTCTGGTAAAAAGGCTGTATTCAACATATCAAACGTACATATCTCTTCCAAACTCTGCTTCTAACTTTTTTCAGCCTGGGTAGAGTTAAGTTATTTGTAGTAACGCCCTTTTTTCAATTTTCACAATGCAAACAACAAATACAGCAACAGCATAAAGTAAAGTCACAATATACTGTGTTGATTATAGTGAACGACATAAAAGATGTGTACACAGAGGTGTCTCACGTGTACATTGTGTGATTTATAGTCTGCTTGTAGGCG